AGCAATATTTTTATTATTAAATTTAATCAAATTCGGCAATAATTCAGCTGCCGAATGACATAATTTCGACTAGTGATTCCTTGTACAACTGAGCTTTGTTACCCCTAATAAAAAATATATTTCAATATATGGTATATATATTATACAATAGTTTGAAAAATTTTTAAAACATTATAATTTTTATCATAATAAAATTTAAATAAAAATATTTTAACTTTATAAATAATTTTTAATTAAAATTTTTTATATTTATTTAAAATATTTTTTAAAATTTTATATATATAAGTTGCAAGTTATACATAAATTATATATAAAACATAATATATTTGATATAATATGAAATTTTCAAATTAAATAAAAATATAAACCACTGTATATAATAGATCATATTGACCTGACTGTGAATTTAAGAAATATTGTTACCAAATACTATTCAATTTCGTTGATACCTATTACTATTTCGTAAATTCTAATCTTTAATAATAATCACAGACAGATAAACTATTAAACAAACATTGTACGAAAATAAAAACTCATGTTAGTCGGCTACGAAAGAAAAAATACATGTTGAAGAACACAAGCAAAACCGGATATAAATTGTCAGTAAAAAAAATTTTTAATCATGCAATTCGTGCATACAAGATTCTATTTAATTTCATATACTGTACATGCTAAATAAACATTACAAAGTGTGACGTTAACGTTAATTTAAAAATCTATTGAACCGCAAAATTTATCAACTACTACGTACAATATTAAATTTGTTGCCATTGTAAATTCGGATATAAAAAAAAACGACCTCCAATTCATGCCCAGATCGGCACGCCAGCAATTATCTCTCTAGGTTTAACGACTTGTCCGATAAGTGCTTGCGATAATAAACTGTGCTCCTCGTGAACATGTTGTTTCTTATTACCTGTTGCGGGTGACGCCGATGGCAGACGGGTAACAGGCTTAGCTGATTTTCCTAAAATTTTGATGAATTCATTCTCAACTACGAGTAATCCCTCAAAAAAGCAAAAAAAACGATAGCGAAGTCGATATATTTACCTTCATGGCGTTTAGAATGATTCATAAGAGTCCTAATTCTTGGAGCTATGTAAGTCCATGCGCCTGAATTTAATGGTTCCTCTTGTACCCATAAAAGTTCGGCATTCGGATATTTGTCAACATGCTGAGATAATAAGTCATAAGGGAATGGGCATAACTGTTCAAGTCTGGAAATAGCGACGTGGTTCATTTTATTTTGTTCGCGAGCTCTAAGTAAAGAATAGTAAACTTGACCAGAACATAAAATGTGACGCGTAATTTTCTCAGGCGTCGCCAACGTTTCTGGGTGTGGGTCCGGTATATAACGAGTGAAATATTTATCTCCATTCATCTCCTCAAGCGTAGAGCGAGCCATGGGATGTCGGAGAAGACTCTTTGATGTGAATGCAATTAGCTACAAAAGGGAATCCAATTATTAATGAAAATATTAAACGAACATTATGTGAAAAGATTTTTAACAAACCAACTTACTGGTTTCCTAAAGTCGCGATGAATCTGGCGCCGTAGAACGTGGAAATAGTTTGCAGGAGTAGTACAATAAACCACTTGCATGTTACAATCTTGATGTTGACGTTCCATTTTTTCGGGAGAAGGATAGACATATGGATGATCATCACAAAGTTGAAGAAAACGTTCGATGCGTCCGCTAGAATGTTCAGGACCTTGTCCATCGTAACCATGAGGCAGCAAAATCACCAATCCAGTTCGTTGAAGCCATTTCTTTTCCCCCGCTGCAATATATTGATCAATAATGCATTGGGCGTTGTTCGCGAAATCGCCGAATTGTGCTTCCCATAAAACCAGTGAATTGGGATCGACCAGCGAATAACCAAGTTCAAATCCTAAGGTGCCAAACTCGGAAAGGGAAGAATTACAAACAGTAAATGAGGCTTGACCGGGCCGTAGATCATTTAATGGCACATATTGCGTCTCATTTTCTTGGTCATGAAGGACGGCATGACGTTGTGAGAATGTCCCACGCTCAACATCTTGACCAGACAAACGGACATGTTTTCCCTCAACCAACAAGGAACCAAATGCAAGACCTTCAGCTGTCGGCCAATCAATGTTTGTTCCTTCTTCGATGGCCTTTGATCGAGCCTTTAATATCCTGACAAGACCTGGATGTACGTGAAAATTCGATGGGTATGAACTTATAACTTTACCAACATGTTTAAGCAATTCTGTTGAGGAACCGGTAGGATAGGCAGGCATGGTTTCATTTGCAATTTCTTTTGGAGACTTAAAACCGTTCCAGGAACTGGATAACCATTCACGGCTGGTAGGTTTATAATTCTCGCTCGACGCGTAACTTTCTTTCAATATATCCCACACCCATTGTTTATGCTTTTGAATGTCATCAATTGTGAAGGTTTCTTCATCTAAAAGTTTTTGAACGTATTTATCAAGAATACTTGTTTGCTTTGAAATCTGTTTGTACATTCTTGGTTGTGTAAAACTAGGCTGATCCACTTCATTATGTCCGTATTTACGATAACAGACAACATCGATAACAACATCCTTCTTAAAAGTTTGTCTCCATTCTGCGGCAAGCTGACACACGAAATTCACCGCTTCTACATCATCACCGTTAACATGAAAAATTGGTGCATTAATCACCTTAGCAATATCGGAACAATATGGAGTTGAACGCGCAAACCTAGGGTCAGTGGTAAACCCGATTTGATTGTTGACCACTATATGTATTGTACCGCCCGTGGTATAATTGGGTAGATCCTGAAAACCCATTGTTTCATAGACGACTCCTTGAGCTGCAAAAGCTGCGTCTCCGTGCAACAATAATGCCATAGAATGGTGGCGATTTTCTTCATCATTCATATAATGCTGAAGAGCACGTGTTTTTCCTAATACAACCGGATCCACGGCCTCCAAATGAGATGGATTGGCAGCCAAAGAAAGGTGGACAAATTTTCCACATGGAGTTGGTCGGTCATAATTCATGCCCAGATGATATTTCACGTCACCAGAACCTTCCTCAGAAGGTTCCTTGATTCCAGTAAATTCGCAAAATATAGACTCGTTTGGTTTGCGAACCACGTTGCTAAGCACATTCAGACGACCGCGGTGAGGCATACCAATAACAATTGTTTCAATATCAAGTTCAACTGATCTGTCGATCTAAAGAAAAAATAAATCTTTAATTAATATTAAGGTGGAGATGTACTGCGTATGATTTTGTTTGAAGATCATACTTACCAAAGCCTTCATACCTGGAATCAAACTCTCACATCCTTCTAATCCAAACCTTCTTTCATTAGGATATTTCTCGGAAATGAATCTCTCAAATGAATCTGACCAAATCAGGCGGTCTAAAATCCTTCGCTTTTCTTAAGACACATGAAATAGGTACATTATTGGTGAATATTTGAACAAACATGCAGAAGTTATAATCAAACAATCATTCACATACCAGCCACCGTATAATTGTAAGGTCTTGGTATTTCTACTCGCTCTGAAATCCAGTCACACTGAACTTTATCAGGAATGTGAATATATTCAATTCCAATGGTACCGCCTGAAAAATGAAATTTTACTAAGGTCCCGTTTGAGACAACAATCAAACATTATTAAATGAGGTCGATTTCATACAATAAATCTTTTTGCAAAATTCAACGATCTCGCGGAGCGTCATTCTTTCACCATTCTCAGAGAAACCAGGCAGAATTCCTGGTCCTAGGGAAAATTGTCTATCGAGATCTTCTTCAGTAAAGCCGTAATGTTTAGGATCAAGTTCTCTCGGTAGTTCTGAATCAGCATTCATGATTCCTAGGGGATCCAATTTGGCGATATGATGCCCACGAACTTGATAAGCTCTTACTAAAAGCTGTACCTTCATATAATCATTTAAGTCGTAAGAATCGGATAATTGTGTGCTTTGCGCAACTGTGGTTGCCATTCCGGTTAGGGGAACCAATATTGGAGAAGGTTGATATGCGTTTCTGGGATGCATGCCAGACTTTATATTTTTAAAGTATGCTTGCCATGACAAGTGAACCGAGCTAGGATCTTTAAGCCACGCATCATACATTTCTTCGATGTAATTCGCTGCATTTCCTTGAAGAAAAATGTCATTCGACGAAGGTGCTGTTTGAGATGTCGGATATGGTGCATTTACTGCAGTAACTTTATCCCGGACAAGATTGAGGATTGGATGAGGTCGTAATATGTTTCTCGATGATATTTGGAATCCTTGTTTGTGACGTAAAAGAACGAGACCTGGTCTATTTACGAGAGACCGAAGTGAATTCATTTTAATTTTGGTTGCAAGAACAAGCAATTCGTATATGTACACATTATATATTTAGTCCAGTGTAACCCTTAGATCTGATTAGATAAACTATTTCCATTTAAAGCATTAATGCGCATTTAATCACATGGCCTATTACGGCAGCAGAAATAGGTAACGTGCCTTGTTAAAAAAAACAAATACAATGCATAACAATCTATTATTGACACTTTTTTGGTTCGTAAAAATGTATAAACCATTGTACAACTGGATGATTTTAAGATATATATATGTACTACATTATATAAATTCTTTAAAATATTTTATACTGTTGTTTTAAAAAAGTTGATATAAAAAGGTTAACTTATTAAAATTTAATATATTAAATACTTATTAATTTATAATTTAATAAATACTTTAAATGTTTTATTAAAAACAAAACCAATTATAAATTTTATTATTATAAAAAATTTATTATAACTAAAAAATAAAAACCATTGATAAATCCCAAGTCAAAAATTTAATTATAATAATAATAATAATATTTTTTTTTTTAATCCTCTGTCCAGTTAGTTATATATACTTTATTAAATATTTGTAAACTATACATATAAAATAAGGTATTAAAGTTAATTTTTTAACTAACTTACTTATTTTGATTATACTATTTCTCTAAATACAACTTTGAAAATGATTTATCACTTCATTAGTAGTTCAGATAAAGACCTTTTCAACTTTTAATCTCATTACTTATAGATCACCATTGCAGATCATTTATTCAAGTTTTAACAAAAATCAAAATTAAACCATTTCTTATTATACTTTACACTATTTAGTAAATTTTCTTTCAACTTTTTATCTTTGATTCTTTTTTCTTTATATGTTGTTTTTTAATAAATAAACTTTTTTTTACTCTTGATCTTACTTTTTTAATCTCATGAATATATTAATCTTTTTATCTTATCATATTTGTAAATTCTTGATATCTATTTTTACTCAATCATCTTTTATATCTAATATTCCATATTTTCTTTTAGAAATGGTTATGTACTTTTTTCTATATTTTTATTATTCATATTCTTATCTTTTTCAATTCTTTTATTGTAATACTTCAAATTTGCAATTTTTATAATTAAATTTTTCTTTATTGGTTCTATATAGAAGTTAAATGTATTCTGATTGGTTTATGAGATTTTTTCTTTCAGTTTTATTATTTATTTATAAATCTCTTCTATTTTCAATTTATTATCTATTATTAAGTTTAGCTTTTTTTCTTAGACTTTTTTTTTCTATTCTTCAAGAGTTTTTTGAATTTTTTCAAGATTTTTTTTATTTCTTTTTTTTATATCTTATTTTATTGCATCTTGTAAATTGGATATTTTAATAAGTGTTTTATTATTTTCTCTTCTTAGTTATATATAATATATTTTACTTGCTTATAAAAATCTAGTCTTCTTATAATCAGCTTAGTTAACATTGGTAGTTTATTATTGATCAACTTAACAAAAAGCTTTTGTTTTATGAGCTCTTAAAGGAGATATTTATATATATTTATTTTTTAATTATTCTTATACTAGGTTCTATGTATATCTGTGCTAGTCTTGAATTTACTGATTCCATCTCTTCTTGATTCTACCTTGAGTTATCAATTGGTAAACCATTATTTTGTTATTTGTTTTTTTAATAACTTGTCTTATAGGGGAATCCAACATTGTATCTTGCTATTTAATTTCTATAATAATCTTAAATAAAACAAAATTTTTCCATTTTATTATTGAAAACATTAGTACTTCTTTGATAAGAATATCTGCTTCTTCATTATACTGAATATTGAAATATACTTTAAACTTGATAAGTTTAAGGTTTGGTTTTTTTTTCTTTATAAAATTCAATATTTGTATCACAGGAACCAATTTTATTCCTTTAATTATCTTTTATGGATTATTCTGGATCCTCCTTTTCTATAGTTTTTTAATTTAAGATATAGGATTAACTATCTATATAGATCTTGACCTTGTTGTTTACTGAAACTACTAGTAGTATAGTTACTATTGTTACTAATTTTACCTTAGTGAATAAAAACCAATTAGTTACTCCAGTTTAGAACTTGCTTTCTTTTTCTACCTTTTTTATCTATATCTATATTGCTTCTATCTTAATATTTATACTTTTGTAGTTTATAAGAGATTTATTAGAGTAAAAAGTTATTAGTTTTTTTCTTTTTTTGTTATATTCAAATATTTCAATCTGATAGAATTGATAAGTATCTTCTTCTATGTGATCTTTGATAATGTTTTCTTTCTAATTTTCTATTTTAATTTGTAATACTTTTTTATTTGGTGTGATTACTTGATTATTATATATTGTTCTATATATTGTTTTTTTCAATGCTTCTTTGAAACTTGAAATTTTCAATAATATGGTCTTCTGATAGATTTTTTTGCATTGAGATAAGGAACCATATATATTTTTTCTATACTTATTTCAATTATATATTGGCTTTCTATTATTGTATCTTCTGTATATTCTTAACACTAAATTAATTTTGATTCTTGATTCTTAAAGGAGCTAATACATTTGAAATACTTATTTTAATATGCCTTCTAGTATTATCAAATATTAATATTTTCCACACTACTTATTGCTGTTGAAACTTGTTTTCTATAATCCCTTAAAGTTTTTATTATTTACCAAAATTTAAATTGAAAGTAAGATGTTCTGAACTTTATTTTAATCATTTTTCTTTCTAGGATTTTATAAGCTGTTTTAATTTATTTCTCTATATAATCTCAGTTATAAATAGATACTATTCTGAAATAGATTTTTTACTTATTTTTTATAAAAGTTAAAGCATTCATTAATTTTTTATTTCTTTTGTTTTATAGTTAACTAGTTGATCTATATACATCAACTTGTTGTTTCTAAGTGATGAAATAGCTTTTTAATACCCTTCTAATGATAAGTATTCTTTGATTGAACTGTTTTCCTGACTTTATTCAAAAATATTATTCTATTTTTAGCTTTAAAAGATAATACCTATATTCTTAATTAGATTTAATACTTGTAACATAAAGTTATCTCTTTCTGAAAGATAATTTAATGAGCTGCAAGTAAGTAGATCATTAAACTCCCAATATTTAACTTGCATTTACTTGAGTCTAATAATTGTTGTATTTCTAGCTGATTCTAAATCATTTAACCTATTGTCTAGTCCTATTATTTAACTTTTCTTTTATAGCATTCAAATACTCTTTAAACTATAAATCCTGAGATAGTATATTATACTATTGGATATTAAGTGACATAGTATGACCTTATTTTTGAACCATTTTTTGTATGTCATTGTTAAAGTGTTGTATATCTTTTAAGACAATATACTATATTGCATTTTGAATTTAATTCTTGATATTTTCACTCTATTCAAAATGTAAAAAGGTTATTTGTCAATCAGCTTTTTGTTTTTTAGAGCTCTGGTAATCACATTGATTTTCTTGAATACCCATCTTTTAAGTTCAGTAGCTATCTTTTGATTGTTTATCCAGATTTCCAGAAACCTTACTTATTTAGTTCTATTCAATTCTCTAACTATTTCTTTATTAATTTCTACTTATACTTTTTCTGAATAGTGATAAGGATTATTAATGATAACTAGTACTAATCTGTTACTATTAATCTGAAAATTATTTGTTTTATAAAAGATTTTTGCTTTTTCTAGGATCTTTATCATATCTTTCTTGAATCAAACTATCTATGTTGTATCATTTATAAAGGCTATTGCTGCATATTGTAACTCTAACTTTTTACTACTATCTTCTTTCAAATCTGAATTTCAAGTAACTAATATTTTATATTCTTTTGTCTCATTATTTTGAATTTTATATAATAGAGAATCATAAAATATTCTTGATATCAAAAATAATATAGTTTCTCATTGATCAATTCCATCTTCTATAATGATTGCTTCTATTAGATCTTTTTTATATATCACCTTGAACTCTCTATTATGGAAAAGACTTATTATAATTCAAATAAATCTTTTAAAATTTTGATTCTTTTATGATCTTGACTAGTATATCTAGATTAATAGTATTATATACCTTTGTTGTATCTTAAAAAGAATCCATAGCTTTTTTTTATTTTCTCTTGTTTTCTCACAAATATTATTGAAGATTTGAATCAGTTCTGCTATATTTTCTCTTAGTAGTTTTACATAGTTGAGGCCTTTTAGGATATTTTTGATCTTATAGATATTTTCTAATTTATTTGTGAGAATCTTTATAAAACACTTGTAACAAATCCACGCCTGCCCCATCAATTCTGTGTAAGTATACATGACTCTGTGTGACTATGGACCCGAAGTCCACCCTGTCT